GTTTATCCACAAACTGGTCCCGGATTAAGCTCCAAAGTTTTTATCAGTCAGATTCCACCATGAAAAATGTCTGTTTTATCCCCTTTTATGAGTTTTTGGCCARTGACTATCTTTAAATCGCTGCTTCCTGGTACAACAGTCGGCTCTGAAGGCGATCGCTTTTTTCTTCTTCTTTTTTTCCTTTCTTTTTGTGAAGCGAGTGGTTGAAGCAAATGCAGCAGAAGCTGGTGGCTGAAGAAAAAAATCCACGTATAAGCCGCACCGAACTATAAGCCGCATGGTTCAAAGTTCAGGAAAAAAGTCGCGGCTTATAGTCCGAAAAATACGGTATTTTATAACATTCTGACAACTGTACTTTTTTATGATTAATTTGAACTGACTGTGATGGCTTTTGTGATTTTTGTGTCTTATCAGTGAAATAAATGCAGGCATCTTAAAGACGGAGCAGCATTATGAGAGGATGATGTACAAAGAAGCTCTGAAGAGTGGCTTTTTTGAGTTCCAAGTAAATATTTTAACTTTTTTAAAGAAATTTTCAGCTTGAAATCAAGCATGAGATTTTTGCAAAAATAACAATAGAACCATGAAATAAATCTTAACCTTTCACATGTCTGTAAACAGTGGTGGGCACAGTTCACCTAAAGCACTAATAGAGGAACTAATTTRCTGATTAGTGCTTTAGGGTTTTTGRTATTTTTTAAATTCATTAGTGGATTAGCAGTTGCTAATTTAGAAGCACTAACTGAGGTCTTTAAATGTTATTGATCAACATTTTTGTTCACAGTTAAGGGTGAAATCTGTCATACATTTTGCTCATATATGTATCACTTATCTACAAGGACACGTGTCAAACTCAAGGCCCACGGGCCAAATGTGGCCTGCGGGTGCCTCCCATTTGGCCCGCCAAGGGCACTAAAGTGACAATATTTTGTACACAGTAAATAAGATTATGATGACTTTGAAGAATGTTCCATGTGTCAGCTGGGTTATATTATTGCTTTAGATTTAACTTGTGCTAATTTTTTTCTTTAGCTTAGTTTAATACAGTAGTTTATTAATTTTGATTAAAAACAAAAAATTCATTACAACAAAAAAGAAACACAAATCCCATAAAATGAAAGGAAGCAGAAGAAGAAAAAATCTTATATCTGCCCCTAATTAACAAAAAAAAGAATAATAAAAATATATACATATATTTACGTATACACATTCATATATACATATCTATATACATACACACATGTACATATATAATTTTACACCCTCAGCAGCATAACAAAAAAATTAACCACTGCTAAATTTTTCAGTGCTAGTGTTTTAAAATTAGGGACCTAAATAAATGAGTTGGTGCTTTAGGGTTAGTGCAACTAATATTCACTGGCTGTGAATATGCAGGAACATGACCTGAAATAGACTTAAAAGTAGATAAGAAAAGAAGACAAATACTCAAACTTGGTTATTTGTTAATTAAAAAGGATGGCAATCCACATCCATATGTGAAATGAATCCTAACTTTGTGTTTTTCAACAAGACAATGACCTTATTTATTCAAGTTCTCATATCACTAGAATGAAAAGATAAATGAGTAATATTCCTGACCTTTACATAAAAAACACTTTTATTCCTTCCAAAGGGGAATTACTCATCGCCTAACTGCACAAAAAATAGAAAACGGTTCACATTAAGATACGCAGGATAAAATGTGAAAAGCAAAAAAGTTGGAAAAAAAAGGTAGACGTAATAATAATAATAAAAAAATATATATATATTTTTTTCTTATTTACAGGAGAGAAGCCCATGTAAGAGCACAAAGCAAGCAGTTTCCATCTTGGCTGAAGCTTTTTTTTTTATAACATGAACTAAATCCACTGAGCATGACTGATCCTGGTTCAGATAGAATTTCATGCACATATAAAATTTACAAGCTGAATATCATGACCACTGAAGCAATGTTGCTGTAAAGTTTACATGCTGATGCTGASAACATTTAAAGTTTTATTTCCTGTTTACAGGCTGCCAAAGACAAGTATCGRGAGCTGGCTATCGAAGGCATGCACAGAGACCTGGTGTTCCTGTTCATAGAGAGGCAAACACTGCTGCTGGCCCCCATCTGTCCACATCTGTGTGAATACACATGGGGTCTGCTGGGCAAGGTAAAGAACCTATAAATGTATCATCATTTGTGCTTTTTGTGATTTTCTCCTTTCTGTCCACTGTTTTTATTTCTGCTGTGCACATTTGTCTAAAATATTCACCTCGAGAAAGCTTTTTAATAGAACGTATTTATTTGCATTCATGAGTACACCTGGGATCGCAAAAGCCTAAGCGAGCAGGCTTGTGTCGGCCTGGAGTCGCGTCGTTCCCACTTCTCATTTACCTTTTGGTGAAGTGGCTACTAGCAGGAAATAAACGTCCCCCAGGAGCCCGTCTTCACACTGAGCTTTTCTTCCTCTGCAGCGTGAAACAAGAGCACACACTGTTACACGCTTCCACGAGCACCGAGAGCCAAGAATATTTTTAACACTCAAATTTATGAATATAAAGGAGTGCTGCTGCGCTGAAGATACTGCTTTTTTTTTCTTTTCAGACGTCGCGTAGCAACAACAAAAGCCCCACAACTGCACTTGTTTTCTTTCTTTTTTCTTGTCTCTTCTGTGCGTAACGCGATAGGCTAAAGAGTGGAGTCCACACTGCTGACAGAGTTGTATGATGGTGTGAAGTGTTCACACATGTCCAGTCAAACTGGTGTGTTTTAGTGATTTTATGAAGGCGGTGTGATTTCTTTTTGATCAGATTTAAAGCTCCAGTTTTCCTCAAACTTTGGCCATTTTGGTTTTCACAAAATAATTATCAAAATACACAAACTTGAATTTCCCTCATTAACTGGTTCTTTCTGTCTTGTTGTCGTCTGATAGACGGGTTCTCTGATGAAGGCTTCGTGGCCCGCAGCAGGTCCAGTGGATGAGATTCTGATTCGTTCCTCTCAGTACCTGATGGAGACGGCTCATGACCTCCGTTTGCGGCTCAAAGCATACATGCTTCCCCCAAAAAACAAGGTAAGATATAATAACAGTATTGTTTTTTTTGTTTTTTTTTGTTTTGTTTTTTTGTCAACAGTATTGTTTTAACTACACATATTAAATGGCTGGAATGAAAATCAATGTCAGAATTAATAGCTCTTATTTTTGTTTCAAATGAAATCCAATACTTGTGTAAGTGTGTCCATTAAGCATAGTAAAGAAACTAGAGGCAGTGGAGCGTCTGAGGGATTTTCTTCCTTAGGTGATGTTTAATGTTTGGTTTTGGAAAGCATAAAGATGAAAAAAAAGAATAACCTCAGCATTAAACACCTGACTCAATTTCAGCAAAATAAATAGTTTGTAAGAGTTAATAAACTTGTATTTTACCAGATTTGAACTTGTTTCAAAACTAACAAGAGGATATTTTGTTCTCCTTTTTAGTGGTTTATTCTCAACATGTAGCAGTTTTGGATTATTGATCTTCTGCTTTTGTGATTCTCAAACTGCATCCTTTTATCCTTTCAGATACACTTGAAAATCTAAATTTGTGTTTTCACAGCAGGGAAATGTCCATTGACTGTGAGGCGGTTCAATAAATGGTCTTCAGCAGCTGAGAAAAAAAAAGTAGAACAAGTACTGACAAGATCTAAAAAGTACGATAACTTAAACTCTGAGACTGCTTTTATTGATTTGTTACAAGTATTTTGTTGCCATGGAGTCGGGACTGTAAGATGATTGGAAGAGAGGGAAAAGGAAAATTGTGTTTTTGCATTATTATAATTTTTTACATTATATTTTTCTTAAAGGGGTGGTATTATGCAAAATGAACTTTTTTAAGCTTTATATCAAGTTATGATGTCATTCTCTCATCAAAAACATACCCAGAGTGTTGCTTTGACTCATTCATGCATGTTTGAGAAATCCTCTCCTGTAGTCATGTGGAGCTGCCTAAACACTGCTACAAAGCTCCGTCTATGTACACAAAGCTCCTCCCTGGAGCTCAGTTTGCAGCCGAGCTCCCGCCCCACAGAGCACCTCTCTCCTGAAGCATTGTTGCAAAGACATGCTGAAGTGGGAGTGTCTGAAACAGCAGGAAGTTCTTAAAGCGACAGATGCAAGTTTCAAGGCGTTTTAGATGATCCAATGTCAAATTAATTTTTGATACATAAACAGCATTTTCAAAACAACTGAAAGTAAATTGATTGTGGTTTGGAATTGYACTATGTGCCTGGAACATACATATTACCCCCTCTATAACGAGACCAACACAAAAATAATTGATGTGAGTTTTTAATAAAATAACGAGAAACACAATTTTCAAAGAAGAGCCTTGTTAAAGTGCCTGTGACATGCATTTCCTTTAAATACAAATAGTCAAAGAAAACATATTGATATTTGAATAAACTTGGCACAATATAAGATTTTATCCATTTTGTCACATTCAGCCAAAGTGAAGCAGGAAGTGACATCAAAGGGGAACACCAAAAGAAAAAAACGTATTTGTTTGACATAATATTACTTGACCCTCTTCTTCATGTTAGGTTTTGTAACAATGCTCTGATCACATTCAAACATCTCCCTTTGTCATCACTTCCTGTTACTTCARGGAAATATCTCAACAACTGTTCTTCTCAGTGGTGTGATTTTTTTTTGCAATATGTTATTTTTCTAAAAATGCATTCATATTTATTATAAAATTTTGAGGTCACATGCACTTTAAAGTGTTTAAGAGTCTTCTCAGATAACTATTTAACATCAGTTAAACAATGTTTCTGCAACAATTATCAAACTTTTTTTTGTTGTTGTATTAAAAGGCTTTTAAGAAAAACTTKTTTTTTTTTTCAAATTGTAGTCAAGCTGTTTTTGTTTTGTTTTTGTCCACAGAAAGGTGACTCGAAGCCCCCTGCCAAGCCCTCCCACTGCACCATCTATGTAGCCAAGAGCTACCCTCCCTGGCAGCACAGCGCCTTGTCTCTGCTCGGCAAACACTATAAGGTGAAAACAAATGTTGACATAATAAAACGGAAGCTTCTTCATTTTGTATTTTCATGTGTTCATGACATAGCAGTGGACTAAAATACACCATTTTMTCTTTTCATTTTTTTGTCTAGTTGTTTATATAAAATAGTTTGGCCCAGGTTATTAATGCGGTTTTCTTTTCTTGGTTTTTGCCCAGAGCAACAACGGGGTGCTTCCAGACAACAAAGTGATAGCGAGTGAGCTGGGAGCCCTGCCTGAGCTGAAGAAATACATGAAGAGAGTCATGCCTTTTGTTGCCATGATCAAGGTAAACTTATAATTACTTTTAGATTTTGCTCCCTGTTTTCTTGCTTTCATGATGTTTCCAGTGTGTGTCAATAAGGTTTACTTTAGTCTGTTTGCACACAGCTCTGCACACCCGACTGTTTTAAGCCTCGCCTCCTCAAATGTCTCACTGTTTATTTATTTATAAGATTTTACTTATTCCTTTTTCTGTCAAATAACTAAATAAAAGTAAATAATGAAAAATTAGTCAAACACGTGTTGGTGCTTTTGGAGAAATATCCACATAGTTTTTAGTTCCAATGATGTTTTGCTTATTTGTTTGTTTTGGATTTTTATTTTTGTTTGTTTAGGAAAACCTGGAGAAGAACGGACCCAGGGTGTTGGATCTTGAACTGGAGTTCGATGAGCGAACAGTTCTCATGGAGAATCTGGTCTACTTAACAAATTCTCTGGAGGTTTGTGTTGATTCAGCACTCCTCTCCTCGGGTTTTCACTCAAACCTGAAGTGTGTTTGATCCAACTCTGCCTGAGGGTTTTTGTTTGCTCCATAATAAACAAAATTGATATTTTAACAGATTTTGTTTACAGATAACATGAGGTAATAAGAATATCGGCACCATTTCTAAACAAACAATTTGGATGTTTACAGAAATCTTGTAACATTTGCAACATTTTCTCAGAAATATATATATATATATATATATATATATATATATATATATACACTCACCGGCCACTTTATTAGGTACACCTGTCCAACTGCTCGTTAACACTTAATTTCTAATCAGCCAATCACATGGCGGCAACTCAGTGCATTTAGGCATGTAGACATGGTCAAGACAATCTCCTGCAGTTCAAACCGAGCATCAGTATGGGGAAGAAAGGTGATTTGAGTGCCTTTGAACATGGCATGGTTGTTGGTGCCAGAAGGGCTGGTCTGAGTATTTCAGAAACTGCTGATCTACTGGGATTTTCACGCACAACCATCTCTAGGGTTTACAGAGAATGGTCCGAAAAAGAAAAAACATCCAGTGAGCGGCAGTCCTGTGGGCGGAAATGCCTTGTTGATGCCAGAGGTCAGAGGAGAATGGGCAGACTGGTTCGAGCTGATAGAAAGGCAACAGTGACTCAAATAGCCACCCGTTACAACCGAGGTAGGCAGAAGAGCATCTCTGAACACACAACATGTCGAACTTTGAGGCAGATGGGCTTCAGCAGCAGAAGACCACACCGGGTGCCACTCCTTTCAGCTAAGAACAGGAAACTGAGGCTACAATTTGCACAAGCTCATCGAAATTGGACAAGAGAAGATTGGAAAAACGTTGCCTGGTCTGATGAGTCTCGATTTCTGCTGCGACATTCGGATGGTAGGGTCAGAATTTGGCGTCAACAACATGAAAGCATGGATCCATCCTGCCTTGTATCAACGGTTCAGGCTGGTGGTGGTGGTGTCATGGTGTGGGGAATCTTTTCTTGGCACTCTTTGGGCCCCTTGGTACCAATTGAGCATCGTTGCAACGCCACAGCCTACCTGAGTATTGCTGCTGACCATGTCCATCCCTTTATGACCACAATGTACCCAACATCTGATGGCTACTTTCAGCAGGATAATGCGCCATGTCATAAAGCTGGAATCATCTCAGACTGGTTTCTTGAACATGACAATGAGTTCACTGTACTCAAATGGCCTCCACAGTCACCAGATCTCAATCCAATAGAGCATCTTTGGGATGTGGTGGAACGGGAGATTCGCATCATGGATGTGCAGCCGACAAATCTGCGGCAACTGTGTGATGCCATCATGTCAATATGGACCAAAATCTCTGAGGAATGCTTCCAGCACCTTGTTGAATCTATGCCACGAAGAATTGAGGCAGTTCTGAAGGCAAAAGGGGGTCCAACCCATTACTAGCGTGGTGTACCTAATAAAGTGGCCGGTGAGTGTATATATATATATATATATATACAGTATATATATATATATATATACTGTGTATATATATATTAAATCTTTTTATAAGTTATAAGTTGAAAATCTCTTAATGCTTTTTGTCTGTACTACTTATCCTAGTTGTAACATAAAACCCAAATCTCAAAAAGTGTCTTTGGGAAACAAAAGATTTAAACACAAAGAGGAAAACTTTACCTGAATTGCTTCAAAGGAGAAACCTGAATCTAATACTAATGAACTGAATGAAATCAGGCTGACAACAAAGCCGGACCTGATGACACAGAAAAAGTTCGTGTCATCAATGACACATTTGTTGCTGTAAAACTGGCTTCTGTTGCATTCAAACCACTTAGGAATCACAGCTTAGAGGGTAATAAAACAACCTTGGGCTGATCCTAGACTGGATGAATGAAATGAAAAAACAGAGCAAATTCTGTGTTCATGTGGGGAATTCCTCGACAGCCTTCTCTGTTGAAAAAGAAAAAAATAAGACATGTTTTTTTATTCTTATTTTTTGTAATTTTGTTCGTGTAGACTTGTTCCCTTCTACTTTCCGGTTCAGTATTTTTTGTCTTTGCTGTCCTGTGGGATGTGTGGCATTCTGCTGTAGAGCTTGATATGTTAAGTCTTGGATCGTTGTCGGGTTGAGGTTAACACCACCAGCCTGTGCCAGTGAGCATGCCAACACACCTGTGTACACACTCTTGTGTATTTTCCTGCTCAGCTGAGTGTTAATATGTATTCCCATGATTCTTACCCGACAGTTGGAGCAGATTGATGTCTTATTTGCATCGGAGGGCGATGATAAAGTGAAGGAGGACTGTTGCCCCGGGAAGCCATTCAGCGTGTTTAGATCTGAGGTAAATATTTTAGCTGTGATTTAGTTGCTCAAAGATGACTTTCATGTAATTAAAGAGCACATTTCTTTTTTCACTTCAGCTGCTGGTTTGTGTGTTTATCTCTCATAATGCAGCACATTGACAGTGATGTTCATTTGTGTCACACTTTTTGTCTCCTAAGCCCGGAGTGTGCGTGTCCCTGATCAACCCTCAGCCGTTCACCGGCTTGTTTTCGACAAAGCTCGACATCCGACAGGGGGACAGCAGGGATAGCATCGTTCGACGGCTCGCTAAAGTCAACCGACTCCTAAAACAAACTCAAACAGGTCTGTTAATAATGCTTTAATTCGGGGGAAAAAAAGATGAAAGTATTTACTCTGCGTGGAGCTAAATCGTTTGTGAGCTGCTGCGTCGGTTCAAAGCTGGGCAGATTTTGTATTTTTGGAGCAAAATGTTTTATCACACCTCCTGGTGGCTTAGCCAAGTAAGACACATGTTGTGTACAAATCTGTCTCATGTCATTCCCTCTGTGCTTTTTCATTGTTTGCCATCTGCCAACTGAATATGTTACTGAGTAAGAGAGAAACCCTTTAATTATCATTATTAATAAAAGTCAACATTTAAAATGGCTAATTCACAAAATGGCCTGTTTGGGACTCAAAATGTTCCTGTTTGAATCCTGACTTTATTCCAGGCTTTAATTAGCCTGTAGAAGCTTGTCCAGCCACAAAATGAAACCCTGAGGCTACAGACTAATCCCTTCACCTGCACTGAGCCTGTGTGCGAGTTTAGAAAAGGTCAAAATGATTTAAAAGGAGAAAATTGGAAACCCAATCTTCATACATCACACATTACTTTCAAATAAGATGTAAGCAATATAAAACAATTAAAGAAAGTCAAACTATTATCATTGGTTATGTTTTTTGTTTGTTTACATTTCATATTGCGTCGAGAAATTCAGAAAGCGTTCAACAAAAAACACATTGTGTTTTGATAGTTTGTGCTTTTCTGTACGTTTCTTAATTGATCCAAATCCTTTGTAGTCTCATTCAATGAACTGTGAAGTTGTGCAGCTTTTATTTAAAAAAATGTTTCATTCTTCTCCTTTTACGCTGATAGTTTTCAGTTTCCACACAGCTGCACCCCTCCCTCTGTTTTCTTCTCTTTGCTCGGTTTTGTTTCTCTTGCCTAACTCCGCTGTTTGTCTCCACCCCACCAGATCTGTCCAGAGTGAAGCTGATGCGGTACGAGGACCCCTTAATGGGACCTCGCAGGTTGCCTGTTCTGGGACAGGAGGAACAAGGCAAACTGCCCATCTCCAGCAAATCTGTGTTCAACGTGAATCTGCAGGAGAAGAAGGTCACTTTGGCTGACAACGGCCTCACCGTGGAGGTTGGGGACACTCTGGTGTACCTGATCCATTAGGCTAGCGCTCAGTGTCACACAGGAGCACGTTCAGCACCTATAGGAAAACTTTAAATGCTTCATGACAATTTACAATTTAACAGGTCACTCTGACACAATTCATTAGTCTATATTTTATTGAAAGATTTCAGTCGCAGCATTTCTTCTGTTTAAAACAACTTCAATTAATGCTGAAGGGTTTAGTTAATGAAACTAGAAACCCTGGACTTTCAGAATAGTAAAAAGCTCAAAAACATTAAAGTTCTAGAGGAATCAGCAGTTTAAAAAGAATGACGCCAGAATCTGTAAAATGTTCAGCAGTACAGGAACAGCACTTCTCTGTCAGATATTCTTTCAGTTAAGTTAAATTGTGTTTTGATATGTGGACAGATGTTTTGTTTTTACTTATACAGCATGTTGTAAACAAGCAATTTCTAAAAATGAAACTTTAAAACTGATCTTCACTTAGTGACGCTGAACTGACATCACTTCCTGTTTGACCGATCATGTTTTTACGTCGTCATGCTGCTCCTGCTCCTTTTCCAAGTCCTTCACTCGTCCTGCAGACGAAAGTCTTGTTTTGTTTTCTACATCAGAAATGAGGACGTCTTCTCAGCCTGTTTTCTTTTTTTTTTTATAGCTATCAACTTAGCTTATCTGGGATTTCCACCAAAATAAAATCTATTCAAACTTAAGGTTTCTCCCTTGGTCTATTTATGTACTGTATATTTCTCTTCTAAGCACAAATATAATGAGGGAATGTTCGCAGTAAGAATAGGATTTAGGTAATGTGTGCCGAGTTATTTCTCTCCCAAAACTCCTTACACAGCAGCTAAAGCAGTTTTTACATGGATCTAGAGTTGTAAAGTAAGAATACGTTAATTATTTCAGTAGAAATATTGGTTATCTATACAGTAAGTGAAGTGTGTGTGTGTTTCCAACAACATTTTGTTATAACATCATAGTCTTATGGTCTTTAGAAATTTTATTTATTTTTGGGGGGTGGATAATGTCATTTTAGAAATTCCAACTTTTCTCTGTTACTCAATCCTGTTAATACATTTTATGTCAGTAAATTTGATACATTGTACGATTAATGTCCAGTATCAAAAATTTAAAATAAGTAGGTCCTCTGGATGGGTTCTTCTTTAGTGAAACGTTTCGTCTCTCCTCCAAGAGACTTCTTCAGTCTGATGAGTTTCAGGTGAACTCAGCCTTATAAGCACTGCCTCCACCTGGACAAACAGGTTAGTCACATGCAAAAGAGGGCCATCGCCTAACAATAGGCTTTATTAGCTCTATTTAATCACATGCAAAAGAGGGCCATCGCCTAACAATAGGTTTGATTAGCTCTATTGCTCATAGAGGGTCATGTTATGTGTATGTAGTGAATGCAAGGGGGGTTTAATGTCTCCTTGTTTTTGTCTGTTTTTCCCCTCTTTGTGTTGGTATCGTTGGGACCCTGATTCACATCATTTGCTCACAGGGGGCTGAGTCATACTTGCAATGACAGCATTGTAGGAGGAGGACAACTGGACATGAAGGCCTCCACCTCTGTTTAATGATGGACGGTTTTTCTTCACAAAGATGGCTTCCTTTACTCCAGAAGACTTACTTATTTTTTCTTTTTGATTTTTTTTCTACCTGGATTACTGAGATGCATCAGGACACTTTATGTCCAGTACTTAAAAACTTTTACTCAATATCTTTAAATGAGACTAACTTTTACTAAATTATGGTAAGATTATTGTTCTTTCATTCAAGTATCACTTTGAGGTATACAACACAGCACGGATCTTGGTTAAAACTTTTTTTCTTCTGCTTTCAGGTAACAATCAAGGCCAGGACAAATCATCTTAGAGTATCATAAAAGTGTTTCTGCTTTTGAAACAAGACTCGAAAGGCAGTGGTTTCACTACGTGCTCCTCCATCACACATAAACTTCCTCCCCCCCCCCCCGCCCACACACACACACTTGCTTTTTGTGCACACACAGCACATCAACTTAAATTAAAAAGGTCAACGTCAGAACGCAGCAAACGACCCCCCCCCCCACACACACACACACACACAAACCACGTTTCACTGCTTATACAGTGACTCTTTCACTTCCCAGCTCCTCACATTCACACTGATGCTTTTACCCCAAAGGGTAACTGGTAAGTGTACTCTTTGCTGTGCTGGTTTAAAATGTCGATGAATTTGAGAGAAAGCACTGAGGTTCACAGGCCGAGCTGCTCAGGTTGATTTCTTTTGGTTTATGGTTTGGACTTGTCAATAATGAAGTACAATTACTTTGTAAGCAGAAATTTTGGTTATTTATACTTTAACTTTTCACTTCTAGTTTTTACATTCTCATGCAATTATCTGAACTTTATACTCCTTACATTCTAAAAATACATAAAAGTATTTAATTTCTATTTTACTTGTGTTCATTCTGACTTATCAAAATAAATAAATAAAAACTTTGCAGATATATGGTGCCTCTTGGATAGAGTGAATTTTGTGGTTGGATGAGAAGTATGAATAATTAATATTCTGACACCCTATTGCTTTGTACATCACACCTGCATGACACAAATCACTTTTTTATTTTAAATTTTACTTGAGACGATTCTTGAAATAAAAAAATTGAGTCCAAGTATTTCACAAATCTTACCAAGTAGAATTTTTTTAATCTATTGGCAGAATTTTTCAATTTGAGTCAAATTTCCAGGCCAACAAGATAAATAATCTTACTCGTTCTTAAAACAAGATTATTATTCTTACGAATTCTGTTCTTGTTTAGTAAATAAGTCTCAAAACAAGATCAAAAATACACATATTTTTTGGCTGGATATAGGATTTTAGAGCTTGGTCAGATGAACAGTTTTTTGTGGTGTCAAACTGGTACTTTCATATATTTACTTAAATAAAAAGCTTGAGTTAATACTTCCAAAAAAAAGTATTTTAAACCCCATATTACCACTTAATTAATGAATGTGAATACTTTTGACACCTCTGTTGATGTCATATTTAACATCAGCTTTGGATGTAAAATATTTTTATGATGACTTCTAAGCATCAGCATGCCTGTGTGCTGGACTGTCACCCTCATGCCCTGATGTGAATTACCCCCTCCCTCTACATTTGCTGCATTCGCAGGGAGCAGAGCAAAGTCTCCGACACAAGACAACTAGGAAACTTATCTCGGTCACGCAGCTTCTGGCTGAGCCATCTGACTGCTGGTTTATCTGCTCCAACACACACCCTCTCACTGGGAGAGTGTCACTTCGCCTCCTCCACCTCCTCTTTCCTGCTGACTCCCCGCTCCCTCTCCTCTCGCCTCCTCGTCTCACCCTTCTCTGGATGCCAGTAGCTTCTAGTCATGGAGGAGACAACAGTCACACACCAGTAAGTGTTTTCTTTTTTTTTTTTCCTTTTTTTGTCCCCACCAAGGCACAGTGTTGTCAGCACAGAACACAATAGAATTCCAGCAAACAGCTCTTTTATCTTCACCTTCTTCCCTTTAGACAAGAATGGAACAAAGAGGTTTTTGGACCTTATTTTAATTATTATGCGGTCAAATTGTAAACTTTCCACGTTTGCCTTTTTGTCGTTCTGTATTTGAGAGGCGGCAAGCATTTATCGTGAACTCTGATTGCAGATTTGCTTTTTCAGATCTGAACTGCCAGTCCAAAAAGTTTTGTCGTCAGTGAGTCATGAGGAAGGAGCAGAGGGCTTTACTGGACAAAATGAAGATAACTGGAGTTCAAACAAAGCCTCAGCTCAGACGAAGCCAGTGCTCACACAACCGGGCCTCGGTGTCACCACAACGACCATCACCACCGTCACTCAGACGGGAGGAGACTGGAGCTCCGGCCTGTTTGATGTCTGTGGAGATAAGACGACATGTAACTTCAACACAACTTCTCCYGTTATTTGTTCGCATTGTGTGAAAATTCTGATGTTTGATGGATTTCCATCCTCGTTTGTTTTGTTCAGAGTCATGAGAAAAGCCACCTGATTGGTCGAGAAGTGGGCTACACAGAGTCAAAGAATAAAACCAAAAAGCTTTTACAAAAATGCCAAAAACAAAAACAGTGTTTAGGATTTTTTTTTTCTCTTTCCACGTATACAGAAATCAAACGAGACAACAAATCATCCAAACATTTTAAAAAATGTCTTGGATCTGACAAACATTTCAAAGGAGTGCCTCAAGAAAAGTCCTCCACAAATTATTCACACACCAATTTTTTTCATCCCCGCTCCTGTGCTTGCAGGTATTCTGGGGGCGCTGGCGCCATGTTGTTTGGACCTGAGTTTGGCTCAGCAGTACGGCGAATGTTTGTGCATGCCTCTCCTACCAGGATCCACGTTTGCCATGCGGGTTGGGATCAGGGAACGGTACAAGATAAGAGTGAGCCTCCCAAAAAAAAAAAATAAAAAAATAAATAAAAAGTATTGAAACTGAAAATGTCACAATAAGTTCCTGAATCGGCTTCATTGTTTTATCTGCTTATATACGTCCTCTTTGTTTGTGTTTTGCTCCTCACTAACCTGTATGTTAATCCACAGGGGAGTGTGTGTGAGGACTGGACTACGGTGTGGTGCTGTTACCCTCTGGCTGTGTGTCAGATGATAAGAGAAATGAAGAAGAGGATGAAGAGTCAGACATATCATGTGGCTACTGCACTTAAATGCTCCTAAAATACCTGTTGACAGAGGTTTTCGTTTTTACTGTGTGTACAAACAGACCAACAAAATACAATAGTACACAGATTTTTTTCCCCTGATTTTGGCAAATAGTCGCAAAAGAAACTGTAAGTTTAATCTTTTAGTTTCATTTAACATCCCATCCCAAGCCAGTGATTTCTGTCTTAATCCAAACAAGAAGACTCCTGTTACTGTGGGCGTCGCGGGCATGTTAGCTCAGTTGTTGTCATCTTCACAAGGTCAAAGAATATGGCTCTCACTGTACAARACCATCACATGAAGGAACCATTAATCCCGATTAAGCTGTAAATTCTAATTAAMCTTTTTGTCCACTGCTTAAAAAAGGCAATTTAACAAGATTTCATGAATGTTAARAATGTGTTAAATAAAGGATGATTTGTGTTTTAATTCTGTTCATGACGACAAATAACCAAACAGATATATTTTRCCCCTGTCAAATGGGAAAAAAATCTTCTCTAAGTTTTACATCKCATATAGCGTGATGAGTTCACAGTAAATCACAACAAATCTAAAAATCTGATTAATAATATGAACTGGGCCAGCTGAGGCATAGGCAGTACAGGCAAATGCTAAGGGCATCAATCGTCTAAGGGCTGCCACACAACGGGGATGATTTTTTTGTAACTTTTTCTAAGAGATTTAATCTATAAAATAATCAATGGTTACTTTGGTTTGTTGCTACATGAGGTGTTAACTATTTTACTTTAAAACCTGATTTCTAAAAAGAAAAAGAATAAAACATCAAAGACAATATTTAAATTGTGTTTGTGAGTGGGCAAATTGGTGGTGAGATTTGGAAAATTGCACAAAGAGCACCACCTAAATCTTGCCTAGTGCTACATTTTGGCTACGGCCGGCCCTGGACACGAATTTTCCAGTTACTAGAAATGTTGAGAATCTTTATTCTAATTATGATAAAATCCTAATAAGCCATTTGATTTAAAATGTAATTGCTGTTGTTCGCACGATTTCCATGCATGCTGAACTAACTGTGCAGTTAACCAGCATACACGCCACAGTGTGGCTTCAATTACAAATAAAGTTTTCTGATGCCAACGRCTATTTCTATATTCCAGTTATTCTCTTGAATATGTATTACTTTATTCACCCAGAAGCATCCAACCATTTTATTAATCCAGCCTTGATTGCTCTGGTTCCCTGAACCTGAAATGCCAACCAGACAGAGCGGATATGAAAATGTTATTTATTCACAAAAGCAGATGAATCCTCAAAGGGCAAATATGTAATTTGGTAACTCTTGCAGATGTGGTCTCCCACCTGGCAGCTGTCTCAGATGAAATAAGAAAAAGGCAGAAAATTGGTTTGGAGACAAAAAAAAKTGAGAAAGATGTGAATAATAAAATCTGCTCATATTCAGCAGAGGACAGTCTCCATTTCAGTGAGCTAATCTGATGAATATAAATGTTTTAAACATACTTCACTTCTTATGTGTCTATTCTGTCACTATTTAAAGTTGGCGCCTGTTTTTTGAGGTCCATTTAAGACGGGTGACTAGTAAACTAAAAGTACAAAGAAGTACATTTTATAATATCTCCGGAAAGTGGAGAGTTCTAACTTGAATTATTGGTGACAATCAGAAAACAGGATCACAGCAATTAAGAACTGCAAATGCTGCCCATCTCCATTATTATTTCTCTCATTAAGAAATCATTGTAAAAAAAAAAAAACTAAAGAAAGAATACAGGTGGCAGGGCTGCATATTTAATGCAGCAGCAGATGTCATATAACACTTACATAATGGAACATAAAGTGCAATATGCCTTTGGCATACAGCATTTGACAAATATGTTGAATTTCTGGTTATTGTGTTAATAAAAAAATAAAAGGTAACTCTATGCAACTGTATGACGTTTATTTTGTGACTTTGTGAATATTACTGGTCTTTATAGTAAAAGTAAAATAATGCAAACACCTTCACCCCAGTTTTCCTTCATAAAAGTAATACAATTGTCCCCATAGTAATAATGTGGAAAATAAAAAAAGTTTGGATTAGTTTTTTTTTTCTCTCCCAGGCAGCCCTGAGTGGATAGAAAGCTACTGGTGCAGCTTATGCTCTGTGCCTACTGGGGGTTGTTAGAGTAGCATCTGCCTCAAGCAGAACTTTGTTGGAGCTCTGTGGTAAACATCTTTCCCTCGCTGAGAAATGACCATGTTGCTAATAGTACTGCTTGCATCAGCACCTCTCAAATGACTTGGCAAATTGGAAGTCTGTTTGCTTTGCAAATAAAATCTTCTCTTAGAGTTTATTAGTAATTTTTCCAACTTTATCCAGACAGTTAACCGTATTATTGCCGGACTCTCTCTTTAATTTTTCTAAAAAACACAAACCCATAAGTAGTGATTCTCATCCTTAGTTTGGTAGTTTTCTTAGCAAAAATCAACAGGGAAAATATTGATGTTATAAAAGTTGTTGTAATATATATATATATTGATGTTATAACTCAGAGAGGGGCAACTAGCAGGCAGCGGGCCACATCTGGTC